TCTCGAGAATAGTCTTAATCTGCTTGTTGCTCGTTTCTGCTTGCCCCGAAGTCTGCGGATGATATGGGGTGGCCACCTTATGCGAAATTCCGTATTTCTTCATCAACTTCTCGAAAATACGGTTACAGAAATGTTTACCCCCATCGCTCACAATGGCACGTAGAAATCCAAACCTGCTCAAGATATTTCCTCGCAAAAACTTTATAACCACATTAGCATCACATGTCTGTGTGGGGATGGCCTCGACCCACTTGGACACGTAATCTACAGCAAGGAGGATATATTCGAAGCCAAAAGACTTGGGAAACGGTCCCATGATATCAATCCCCCAAACATCAAAAATCTCAACTTGCAAATTGTTCACAAGGGGCATTTCATTTCTAGAACCAATGTTCCCAATTCTTTGACATCGGTCACACGATTTACAAAAATTATGAGCATCCTTAAAAAGAGTTGGCCAGAATAAACCTGATTGGAGACTTTAAAGGCGGTCTTACATCCTCCAAAATGTCCTCCACAGTTAAGCTCGTGGCAAAAGGTGAGGACGTCCAATTGCTCTTCTTCGGGCACACACCTCCGAAGAATCTCATCTTTTCCCACCTTGAAGAGGAGTGGGTCATCCCAAAAGTAATTCCTACACATCAACAAAAAACGTTTCCTCTCTTGGGAAGAGAGTTTAGCCAAGATACCATCTGACAAGTAATTGACAATGTCAGCATACCAAGGGACATTAGTTACTTCACTCGCATGCTCATATGGAAAGTCATCATTTATACCAACATGTTCATGCAATGCAAGTGAAGATTCAGAAGGGACAATACGAGACAAATGATCAGCAACAACATTTTCACACCCTTTTCTATCTCTAATCTCTACATCAAACTCTTGTAAAAGAAGAATCCACTGAATAAGCCTAGGTTTCGATTGAGTTTTACTCAAAAGATACCTAAGGGCTGCATGGTCTGAATGCACAATTACTTTAGATCCCAAGATATAAGACCTAAATTTTTCAAGAGAAAACACAACAGCCAAAAGTTCTTTCTTAGTGGTAGTATAATTCAATTGGGCACCATTGAGAGTCAAAGTAGCATAATAAATCACACGAAGCAATTTATCAACTCGCTGGCCCAAAACGGCCCCCACAGCAAGGTTTGATGCATCACACATAATTTCGAAAGGTAAAGACCAATCAGGTGCAATCACAATGGGTGCAGTCACAAGCTTATTTTTTAACTTATCAAAGGCATCTACACATGCATCATCAAATATGAAAGGCACATCATTAGCAAGCAAGTGACACAAAGGCTGACTTATTTTCGAAAAGTCCTTAATAAATCTCCTATAGAAGCCAGCATGACCCAAAAAGCTTCGAACACCTTTTACATTCACAGGCGGGGGAAGTTTTTCAATAACATCTATTTTAGCTTTGTCAACTTCAATCCCCCGACTAGACACCACATGACCTAGCACAACACCACTAGTCACCATAAAGTGACTCTTCTCCCAACTCAAAGTCAAGTTCGACTCAATGCATCTTTCAAGAACACGAGATAAATTATGGAGACAATTAGAAAATGAAGTACCAAAAATTGAAAAGTCATCCATAAATACCTGTAAGCAGTCCTCGAGCATATCAGAAAAGATAGAGAACATGCACCGTTGGAAGGTCCCGGGTGCATTGCACAGGCCGAAGGGCATACGTCTGAAGGCGAATGTGCCGAACGGGCAAGTGAAGGTTGTTTTGGGCTGATCCTCCGTAGCTATGGCCACTTGATAGTAGCCCGAGAGTCCGTCGAGGAAGCAATAGAACTGGTGGCCGGAGAGTCGGTCGAGAATTTGATCAATAAACGGCAACGGGAAATGGTCCTTCTTGGTCACGGCGTTGAGTCGCCTGTAGTCAATGCACATCCTCCACCCGGTGGTAATGCGGGTGGGAACCATATCCTTTCTCTCATTCTCAATCACCGTAATGCCTCCCTTCTTGGGCACCACATGAATGGGACTCACCCACTCGCTGTCGTCCACTGGATAGATAAGCCCTTCGGAATAGAGCTTCCGCACTTCCTTCTTTACCACTTCTATCATATTCGGGTTGAGCCTCCGTTGGCTGTCTCGAAAAGACTTAGCACCCTCCTCTAGAATGATCCGGTGCATGCATGTGGAAGGGCTGATGCCCTTAATGTCTCCTAGGCTCCAACCAATGGCCTTCTGGTTCCTCTTAAGTACCTCAATCAGCTCCTTCTCCTCTTCCCGGTTAAGCTCAGCAAAGATGATGACCGGCTTTTGATTCTCATCGTCGAGGAACACATATTTGAGATGACGAGGTAATTCCTTGAGCTCTAGTGTGGATGGGTTCGGTTTGTCGGGCTCGTCTGCTACAAAGAGCTTAATGGTGGGCTCTTTTTCGTCTTCAAGATCGGGCATTGTCCTCTCCTCTAAGTCTCAAATGGTCATTTCCTCGACAAACGGATCGCTTACGTCAACAAATGCACACTCCTCCACGAAGTTAACCGAAGGTGCTGAGGTTGCTTCTCGGACTGAGATAGATACGGATTCGCCTAAGACAGTCATGTTCAAGGTCCCGTTCCTCACGTCAATAAGGGTGTTGGTGGTTGCCATAAACGGTCTACCAAGAAGGATGGTGCGATCCTTCCCATTCTCCTGAACGTCCCCCACGTCTAGAACCACGAAGTCCACCGGGACAATAAGTCTCCCTATACGAACAAGGACATCTTCCACCACCCCTTTAGGGTATCGAATCGAACGGTCGGCCAGCTGTAAGCACATCCTGGTGGGTCTCAAGTCTCCGAGACCGAGCCTCTGGAAGATAGAGAATGGCATGAGGTTAATTCCCGCTCCGAGGTCAAGCATCCCCGAAGCCTCTTTTCTGTTCCCGAGAGCAATTCTTATCACGAAACCCCCGGGGTCCCGTTCTTTCTTTGGGAGATCATGCTGCATGGCACTCGCCGCCTCATAAACCACCACTTTCTCCCCATCTCCAAATTTCCTCTTCTTCGTGACCAAATCCTTGAAGAACTTCACGTAAGAAGGCATGTTCTTGATCACGTCCAGGAGAGGTAAGTTGACATTGACCTTTGAGAGCATGTTGTAGAGATCTCTAAACTGTTGCTCTTGCTTCTCGTGTCGGAGTCTACTCAGAAAAGGAATGTGTGGCTTGTAAGGATTTGGAGACTTGTGAAGCAAAGGACTCTCTGTTGGTTTTCCCGAGTCATTTTCTGTGCTCTTCGTACTCTCCTCGGTTTCTTTGGGCTGGTCGGATGGTTTGGGGCCGTCAGGCTCGGGCATTCTCACCTTGTTGTCCACTTCCTTTCCGCTCCTCAACACAGTGATCGCCTTTGCTTGCTCGGGCTGGCTCGGAAGTTTCCCCTTGTCTGACTCAGCCTCCATGTTCCTGACTCTTGTGGCAAGCTGACCCACTTGCGTCTTGAGACGCTTAATAGATGAGTCCTGGTTGGTGATGAACTGAAGGATCTTGTCTAGCTTGTCATCTTGGTTCGACGAGCTCGAACCGGACTCTTGGGATTGCTATTGCAGTTGCTGCTGTTGTTGGTAGTTGGGACGAGGGATGAAATTGGGACGAGGTTGTTGTTGCATGAAGTTTGGACGGGATTGCTGTTGGTTGAAGTTTGGGCGAGGTGGCTGGAGGGTGTTGCTGTTATTTGACCACGAGAAGTGTGGGTGATTCCTCCACCCGGGGTTGTAAGTATTGGAGTAGGGGTCGTTGGGCTGTCGGTTCTGATAACCTTGGAGGGCGTTGACATCTGCATATTGCTCTCCAACCTCCTGGTCGAAAGCTGATGGGCACACCTCGGATCTATGCCCCTGAACTCCACACGCCCCGCATGTGTCTACCGTCATGGTCTGCACTGACTGACTTCCTCGCGCATTCATTAGCCGCATTTGCTCAGTAAGTTCGGCTATTTGATGAGCCATCATGTCTTGAGCAGAAGATACCTCGTTGACCATGGCCCTCTTCCCACGATTGCTCTTTTGAGACGAGTTAGCACTCATTGTCTCAAAAATCTCATACATCTCTTCGACCGTCTTCGCACCGATGTCTCCCTCCGCAGCGTTGTCAACCATATATTGCAAATTCTGGTTGAGGGAGTCATAGAAGCAATTCATCAGTAGTCCCGGTGAAAGATTGTGGTGGGGACACTGCCGCTGGAGATCCTTAAATCGCTCCCAGGCCTCGTGAAGAGGCTCACTCGGTAGTTGGGCAAACGAGACGATCTGTGACCGGAGCTCCTGAGTCTTCTGATGGGAGTAGTACCTCCCAATGAACTTCGTGTAAACCTCGGTCCAGGTAGTTAGAGATTCCGGTGCAAGTGTCATGAACCAGGCCTTAGCCCGGTCTTTCAATGTCTCGGGAAAGCACCTCATCTTCAATTGATCTTCGTTCAGCCCGTTGAGAGGAAAGGTGTTGAGCACATTGTAGAACTCCCTGATGAAGTTAAGTGGATCTTCACTCGGGAGCCCATGGAATGCCGGTAGCTGGTTGTAACGATTCATCTTCAACTCATAGTTTCGTGCAGGATCTGGCGAACGGATGCACGAAGTAATAGGCCCGATAACCGGCTGGGCTAAGGTTCGGAGAGTGTTACGAGGAGCTTGTTCCTGTTGTTCACCCATGTCGACGTTGCTGCCTTCTGACGATTTTGGAGAGTGCTGGTCTTTTTCTTCGGATTCCAGTGTAAACTCGTCTAGCAGCTCTCTCAGGCTCTCGCTAACTGACTCGTTGATTGGAGATAACAATTTGCGTCCACTCCTGGTACGCATACACTAAACCAACAAGAGTTACGAGCACCAATGATAAAAACAAAATGAAACAAGGACTAACACCTAACAAATAAAAAGAAAACAAAAGGAACACTGAAAACAAATTGAATAGGCGCACAAAATAAGTCCTGAACCTTCCCCGGCAACGACGCCAATTTGTTGTAAATATTTTTACCGGAGTAGAATCCAAAGATTCAACACCAGGTCGTATCACGAGGAAGGTTAGCCGGATTATTTTATACGAATATTCAATCACACGAAATAATGAAAAAGTCCTAAACACTCTAATTTAATTGGTTTGGTTTAATATTATCAACTACGAATTGAAAAACAAATAATTAGGAAAACTAGACAGAACTAGGATTCACAAATTCAAACTCAAATAATTATAAAGGAGCTAGGGTATCGGGGTCAATCAATTCCGGTTCTCAATACACATAACGAGCAATCAAAAGCTCGGTTAAATGCCTCACAAAACTACTCATCTAGAGATCTATCCTCAATAACTCTTTGTAACAAGAGGATAGACATAAACGAGTAATTCTTGAAACAATCAACACATAAGCAATACTATAACGAACAAGCTTACTCCTAACGAGCCTAGATCGAACGATTTCTCCCTTTTCAGTTATAAAATCGATTAATTAGATTAAGACGGTGATCAAACATCAAAACCCTAGGCTAAGCACAACTCGAGAGGATTGAGCAATTATCATGCATATAAACGAAATCGAACCGGAACGATCTTCCCCTAACCCTAGCTAATGGATTTAGCTACTCATAATGCATTCAACATCAACAAACATTATAATCAAAGCCATTCAATCAATGATAAAACCAAATGAAAGCTTACGATTAAATAATCCAATGTCGAAAGCAAGAGCAAACCGAATCCAAAAGTCGAATCTCGGAGTTTTTCTCTCCAAGATAGAATCACAAGATCAAAACCAAGAGAAAGTTTGAGTTTTTGGGTGAAAAACCTTAGAGAATTCGAAACCTAGCATAAGAAATAATGATCCCGATTCTAAAAAAAACTGCTATTTTAAAATCTGCAAATCTCGCTTCCCGCGGCCGCGGACAAGCTCGTGGGCCGCGGTGAAGGAATGGTCCGCGGCCGCGAATTTTCGCCACAGTACGCTGGTTCTAAATTTTCGGGCTCTTCGCGGCCGCGACCTTCTACTCCGCGGCCGCGGCGAAGAAAACTGGGCGCGCGATTGGGTTTGTTCACCGCGGCCGCGGGAACAACGTCGCGGGTCGCGGTGAAGGGTTTCTGAGGCATGGCCGTGATTTCTGGGCTCGTATCCACGCATTTGGACTGGAATTGGATTCCGACTTCTCCTACTCGACCCCAACTCATCCGTCCGGACAATTATCCTCGCATGGTCACTTCTCAATCGAACCACCTATCCTGCACATCACCACCGACAA